GTACAATGTCGGTTCAGTCTTCACCTTTTTTGAATGTACTGCTAACCAATCCGTTTCCAGGACCAGGTTATGTCTTCATGGTGGACCAGGCAGCTTCCACATGAAAGTTTTTTCTTTCTCATCGTGTTTCAGTCGAAACGACTCTGATGCGCTGGGTGGTGACGTTTATGAATTACTGGGCAAAAACAGGTGGCATACTCGCATGCGGTCCCACGACTTGACTGACATGCCTTACTTCCGGTCTGTAATGGAGTCGTCACGCTCACCCTAGATTGAACTACCCGTCAGTTGTCAGAGCTGCATACAGTATTGGCGCAGTCTCACACAGGTCAGATCGAGATTCGAAACCATCACAGCTTCATATAGACATAGTTGGTAATTTCTGTACATCTGTTGCTATTTTAAATCCCTTTTCTTCCAAACTAGAATCAGGACGACTGCACCCTAATCCTTTAATCCGGTCTTGTTGTTAGATTTGCTTTCTAAGATGGAAGTGATTCATGATGGTCCTTCCATCTACCTTACTGATTGTCTCGTCTGCAATCACTCGTTAAAAATGCGGAGATGGTGTAGAAAAATTTGGTTTTTGTTTTTCATGTGAAATTATTTTCTCAATGCGCCTGGCAGGATTATAACTGATGGAATGCCTTCATTCTTTGTATTTATACTCAATGAGGCCATTTATAGCACCATTCATTCATAAGCTTCATCGATCTTCGTTTCAACATTACTAGTGTGCTGTTCATTAACTCAGTACTTGCGGCATGATGCGAAGCGTAGGCTGCATTAATAGTTCGCGAAATTTGTTTGTGAGGTAAATTTCAGCTCATACTGAAAGTATACAGTAATTTGCCTTATCTTTCCATCTGGTAGTGCAGTAGCTCCTAATGTTATTATCGCGGCGTATGTTAATGTATTTTTAGTGCCAGTAGTGCTTTGCTAAGTTTTTAATAAAATTTCCAGGTAAATCGCATTCATTCCAGTCAATCTTAATATTTCCGTAAATTTGCGTTGCTTCACAAACCTGTTTGTCAAGTACTGTTTCGCAAGTTTCCTATTCTGATAGATGCGTTGTTAACCAGTGCTCCTCCTACGAATTCTCATATCTACGACCTGATGAGCACCGTACAGGATCTTGGAAAGGCGATGGGCAATCTGATCAACGTTGTCACATCCGACGATGAGTTGTCCGACGATAAAAGTTTTTCTTAACAAGTGTAGCTTAAAGACTAATTTTTTGTGATTTCGCCTAATACACCGGACCGATTTACGAGCGAACTTTGTACAGTTTGATTGGTGTATCGGCTAATTTCCAGATTGCGTTAGTGCCTTTTTATGTGTTTTTCAAACGTATGTTATTTTGCAATTTTTCACTTTCATCCGTTTCTAGCTGTTACTGACTGTAATTTTCTTGTACGACGTTTGTACCACTTGTGTGCCTTTGGTGAATGATTGCTCATTGTTGATAAAATGCATGCAAATTCTGAGCAACGACAATGGTGCTAATGAAAATATTCATTTGTGTGTTCAGAGTTTTTTTATTGTTTCTGCCAAATCCGTTATAGTTATATAATACATGATTGCCTGTGGGCGTATGTCATTTTAAACCTATTGTTATTGTTCTTCAAGCATTCCTGGTGGGCAAATCCATGCAGTTTCTTCATCTTGAAGTGGATTATCGAACTTCCAACTCTTCTTGCGCGTGACTTTCCTGAACTTTCAGAGTTGTGACATGTGATTTAGTTCACCGACACAGACGTGGCTCTAGTGGACAAAAATGATGCAAGATTCATCTTGCACTGTGGATGTGGATGTTCAAATACCGTGGATCCTGCTTAAATGGTTCCTAGGCAAATAGGAGCAAAGGCACGGTGCAATACACCGTGAAATCTGGTCTCAATGGAGTCATTCGCTTTTGACATTCTAGGGCGTACGAACAACTTACGACGTTTTTGCTTCATCACCAAAATACCACATTTAACGAAGGCAGGCAAGCTTCTCCCCACTCACTTGATAACAAGACCTACGTCACCGTGCGATGTTTGCCAACTGAGCGAAAAGCTACGACGTGTTGGATCTGCAGCAGGACTCAACCTGTGCAATTCTACAGAGTCACCTCAAGATTAAGAAACCTGAGAAGCGAAAGACCGGTGGGTGTACCAAGTCCTTTGCTCCGGTAGTTCAGTTTTCATACGCGAAACGTGTAATAAGAGTTTGCATACTCTCACGGTTGAAGGGAGGAAGACAGACCACAAAAAAAATTTGATCAGATGAAAGAACGCAAAACGGTCATCAGCAAGTCGGCATAGGACAGAAACAGAGTAAGGCCCCTTTACTCATGAAAGCAGAATACGAACAAAATTCCGCCAACGTGAAACGTGCTGTTACCCATGAGCATAACATTGTGAGACAAAATGAAAGTTGTCGTGCGAGAAAAACAATATTTTTCCCGCAGAGTTGAGGAAGCGTTGCTGATCCACACAACGAACTAGATAAGTTGTGAGCTTCGAACTTTCCGCGACACATTTGGCCTAAAGATTGAGTGCTCGCTTTCGACCAATAACAGACGCGTCACCATTAATCGTACAAGTCAACCCGATCCGCTTTAAAACATTGCGTACTAATTTTAACTCTGAAGACGGACCGAGCTTGGTCCGAAACGGCCGATGTCCTTGTTAAATAAAGAATATATTTTATGTGTCTTTCTCCCGTCTATAGCATAGTGAAACATCATCCCCACAAAATAATCGTGTACCAAATGATCAGAATAAGTGATTTTAATCGGCCAGAATTTCACGCTCAACTGTAAAGCTAACTGAAGGCTTGTTAAGAGAAGTATAATGCACGTTCAAAACGAAACGTCAGTGTCTGACTGGCTCAGTATCAGAAGCGAACCCCAAATCAAGGTGCTCACTGATATTCGACATTGTGGTGAATTATGTTATGCAAAACAGCATCGGCCAATGGA